CGCCGGGCCCCCTCGGCCCGTGCGGGGCTTCAGGCCGGGCGCCCGCCTTGCGCCCAGAGCGCCCTCTCTGGCCTGAATTCGAGTGTTCCCCGCGGAGCCGCCGGAGCGTTTGTGGCAGTGCCGTGATGAGCGTCACTGCGCCTGCTGCGGGCCTTTCCTGGGAACTGCTTATTCGCTCGACTGACTCACGCAGACCCCTCCTTTCTTCCAGCATGGCGCTCGAAGGGGGGTACGTGGGGTTCCCAGGTGTTCGATGCAGACCTGCTTCGCGTCAGTAAGATGCTTGCAGCGCACGCAAACCACGTCCTGGAGCCCATCGCTCCCAGTTAACAGATAAAAAATGAGAGGGTTCATGAAATGTTAGGAGGCGCCCTGAATGATTTTGATTTGTCCAAACAAGCCAGGTGATACACGGCGTCAAAAGCATTTCAGCAGTTTTATGTTCAAAATAAAGATGGACCTAGAAACCAGACAGCATTTTCTGCAGTTGAAATAAAAAGAATTCATTCTGCAATTCTTTTCCAAAATATTGATTTCTTGGCCTGACCTGTGCTTAGGCTTCAGACAAGGCGGCATTCGCTGTCCCAGCCGGAGCGGTGTCATTGGGAGAGGACTGAGCTCCCAGCCACAGTTCTTAATGTGCGCTCTTGACTCTTGCCAGGACCTTGAGATATGGAGCCTCAAGATACCAAGAAGGCTTCAGAAGGGAAGAGGAAGTTCACTGTGAAGACATCAGAGGAGGAGACCATCCCGGTATATGGGAAATTTGGGCTGCAAACATGTCTTTGGGGATTCTTTTCCACTGAGCTTTTGCCCCTTGCTCGACATCAGATGGAGACCTCCAGATGCTCTGACAGAGAGGACCCTGTCCCCCATGGCTCTCTCCCTCACAAAAGCCACCGGTCCAACTTTCAGACAGCCTGAATTGATTCCTCAGTCCAGTTTAAATGTTCTTCCAGGTGAGACTGCTCTTCAAACCCTCCTCTGCAGCAAAAGCTTCGCCGGTCCCTGAAGCCCCCACTGAGTCCAGGGCTGCATCATACGCAGACTACATCGTTGGCCAAGCAGGCACTGCCTCCACCTCCCAGGTGAACCAGCAAGCAGCTGCCGCCACCGCCACTGCCACCAGCACAGAGCCACCTCTCCTGCAAGAGGACCAGAAGAGCGCTGCAGCCCCACTGGGTGCAACCGAAGAGAAAGGCTGCTCCTTGAACCCAGCCCCCAAACCGGGAGCCAGGCACAGCAGCATCATTGTCAGCCCCCGCCAGGTGAGCAGAGCAGAGGGCAGGTGGCCAACGCTCCCCCTTCCCTGCCCCGTAGGTGGACAGTTCTGCTGGAGTTAAACCAAGATTTGTGTAGCTGTACTTAACTAGGCCTAGACTGGTTGATTTCTAAAATGGCAGTGTTGTGCAACGGTTAGAGTGCTGCATTGCGACTTGAGAGATCCAGGTTGAAGTCCCCACTGGATTACTCTGGGCCAATCAAAGCCTTTCAGCCTCACCTCTTGCACGTGACACAGGGTGTGAGAATAAAACGCAGAGGAAGAAAATCTTGTAAGCCACTTGGGGTCCTTGCGGGAGGAAGACAGCAATAGAAAAATGAAAGTGGGGAGAGGTTTGAGAACTGAAAATCTGTTTTCAAAGCCCAAAAGAGCGGCACTAACCATGGCTGTCGTGCATACTTCCCACCTGAACAGGATGTCAAGAGCTGTAGGCCTCCAGGCTCAGAAGCTCACCGCTTACTTCCAGAAAGCAGGATGCCTCCGGCTGCTCACAGTGGCCATTCAAACCCCCAATTTAAGTGAGAGCACAAAGCCCTCTGGCTTGAGAAAACCTTGCAGGGCTTTCTGCAAAAGCTCAGGCAGAGCTTGATGCCCTCCTTGAACTCTTTCCGCAGAGAGGAAACCCCATCCTGAAGTTTGTCCGCAACGTGCCTTGGGAGTTTGGCGAGATTGTCCCAGATTATGTGCTGGGCCAAAGCACATGTGCCCTTTTCCTGAGGTGAGTGTGCTCGGAACCACACCCCTTGCGCTGCTCAGAACACGCATGAATTTGCCTCTATGGGTGTCTGTTGGGTCCCCCCCCCCCGTCCCAAGCTCTTACCCTTCCCGCTTGTGCTCCTGTTTCCTACGGAGAATGCCCCTGGGGTTCCCATCAGTGGCCTGTGAGGCTTTAACACAACGCTGTGTAGCTGGGGCTGATTTGCGTTGGAACCTTCTGGCACAAGAGCACAGGGTGGCTTTGGTCAGGCTTGCAGTGGGAAGAAGCCCTGCTTAAGCCTCTGGGGAACTGCAGCCCTCCCAGGGGGCGTTCACCATGTTAAAGCCTCACAGGAAGCTGTACGCCAGTGATGGCGAACCTTTGAGAGGCCGAGTGCCCAAACGGCAACCCAAAACCCACTTACTTATGGCAAAGTGCCAATACTGCAATAAAACCTGAAAGCTGAGGTTTTAGTTTAGAAAAAACACCTTGCAGCCAGTCCAAGCAAATGTATGTATCTCCTTGGCAGTACACTGACTGGCAATGCAAAAGCTCGGACAAGTCACAGCTAAGGAGTCGCGGCACATTATGTCATTGCCTGGCGCCGCTACTCCTTTCCGAGCATGCGCATGGCCCCTATGTGCGCTGCTATCCGATGCTCAGCTGCTGGAGTGATGCTGGCGCGACTTGGCTCTTGTGCCGACTGAGGGGGCTCTGCATGCCTGCTGTGGCACGCATGCCGTAGGTTCGCCACCACTGCCATGACCCTGCCCTGGTGCACTCCCCTCACCCTAATAGAGGGGTAAAGTTCCATTCAAAAGAGGGCGATTTTGAAAAAGCCCTCCTTGAGGAGCTTTTTCTGCGCAGCTCATCATTTCTGCCCCTTCTAAACATGTTCCAACCGTCAGAATCGTGCCAGGACATCTTGTTTTCCTAACCCAACCCTGGTGCACACCCCTCACCCTAATAGAGGGCGAAATTTCCATTCAAAAGAGCGATTTTGAGGTAAGTCCGCCACCACTGCTGTACACGTTCCCCACCCAGTCGATAACGTGGTATTTTAAAATTGTGCCTCTCCTGAAGAAAACAAGCCTTCTTTGAATGGTCTCTCTCCCTCTCTGCCACATGCAGCCTTCGTTACCACAACCTGAACCCCAATTACATCCACGAACGGCTCCGCAACCTGGGCAGGACCTACATGCTGCAGGTGCTGCTGTTGCAGGTTGATGTGGTGAGATGCCCGGCCAGGAGGGCTGCCTCGGCCTCCGCTGCTCTGCCCCTTCGCTTTCCATTTTGGACTAGCAGCTCTACAGACTTCCTAAACCGTGCCATTCGCTCAGCCTCACACTGTAAAAACCGAGCTTGTGGGGCTCCCTCCTTCCCTTTCTCTCCGTGGCTGCTGGGAAGCCCCTGGCCACTGGCGGGACGCTTGTGTGTGTGTGTGTGTGGGGAGGGGGCTGTCCCTTTGTGTGCTCCTCCTGGGCTTCCACCCTGCACCGCCTGCCCTGTGCTGGGAGCAGGCCGAGAGGCCCTGTGCTCTGGTTCGGCCTCTGCGCTGCCCATCTGCCCTGGATTCCTTTCCTGCACCACATCCAGCCCCGGTGGTTCACCTGGCCAACTACATTCTTGCTTCCCGCAGAAAGACCCACACCAGGCAATCAAGGAGCTGGCCAAGATCTGCATCCTGGCTGACTGTACCCTCATCCTGGCGTGGAGGTGAGAACCAAAAGGGTGACGGGACCAGGCCGCCGCCGCACCCTGGTTGAAACCGGCCAGGCAAGTCTCTCGCCGACGCCTCCTGGCCCCACACGAGGCTCGGGCAGTGCTGGCAAGACTTCGTCACGTGCCGCTGGGGCGCTTCCAGGGCGGGGTGTGACGAAGGGCCCCGGGTCTACCACTGCCTCCCTCCCTCCAGAGGATCGCTGGGGATGCTGGGAAAGGCTCCTTGGCCCAACAGCTCCTGCCCCTCCAGGCTGGCCTGGGTGGGCCAGGCACTTCAGGATGGGGCCGGGGAGGCCTTTGTCTCCGGCTCGGAGCCTGCCTCTTCCCACCACCCTTGGAACTCGCCCAGCTCACCCAAATGAGCTCACAAGAACAACTCTTGGGGGACGGACCTAGGAAGGAAGGAAGGAAGGAAGGAAGGAAGGAAGGAAGGAAGGAAGGAAGGAAGGAAGGAAGGAGGAAGGAAGGAAGGCAGCACCATGAATGGCACCCGGGGCAGAATCCCCAGCTCTTTCGTGGAGTCATCTCTGCACCCTCATACAACTGAAGAGCTTTGAAAAAACTCTGAGCATTGCCCAGTTTGGACATGGGGAGCGCAGTGCCGAGGGGCGGGGCGGGGGTCTTTTGGAGCTTTGGCACGGCCCGAGTCAGCAACACCTTCCTTCCCCTCTTTCAGCCCAGAAGAGGCCGGCCGCTACTTGGAGACTTACAAGGCCTATGAGCAGAAGCCGGCCGACTCGCTGAAGGAGAAGGTGGACCAAGACTACCTCTCCCGAGTAGGTACCTGCTGCTCCCCAGCGGGGCTGCCCAAGGCCAGGCAGGCCGCACCGGCAGGCAGCAACCCGGAGGCTCTCCAGCACAGCCGCAGGGGCAGTGCGTGGCAGCCGCTCTCCCCCAGGGGCAGCAGCCCCCTGCCCACTCCCACCCCCCAGCTCAGCCCCGCCCCCTCGGCCAACCGGTGTCAACATCCATTAACACTCAGCAGCACCACCCCACGGCCTCCGTGGGGTGGGAGAAAGAGGACAGTGCAGGCCGGTCGGCTTGCACGTGCTGGGCAGGCACGTTCGGCCCCAGACAGTGCGCCCTTACATTCAGGGTGGGCGACCCCGTTCCAGAAACGAAGCAGGCGCTTCCTCACGCTCTCCCCCTAAAACGCCGCGGAGCATTTCGGTCCCTTGGGCACTTGCCACTGTCGCTAGGAGAGCCCCCACAGGAACCCGGCACCGCGGCAGGCACGGGGAGCGCTGCTGCAGCCGCCTCTGTCTTCCCTTGCAGGCGACGGACTGCCTGACCAGCGTGAAATCGGTGAATAAGACGGACACACTCAGCCTGCTCTCCAACTTTGGGGTGAGTCCCCCCCGCGTGCTGGTGAGGCTGGGGCCAGCCAGGGCCAGAGACCAGCCCCGCTTTCCATCTCCCCCGACCTGCGCGCTCGCCTTTCACCCCGAGGCTCTCCCTTCCGGTTCTGAGCTCCAGCCCAGAATCGTGGCTCTGGCCCAGCGCCCCTGCGCAAGCCAAGCCTTGGGCCGACCGCCGGCCCCTCAGCCCCACCCCACTCCCCTGGGATGCCCTTTCCGCACCTCCGCTCCTGCCACTGGAATGCCTGTGGGCACTGTCTGCTTTGACCCCTGGCCTGCCTTCTCTTCCCTTGCAGTCTCTGGCCAGCATCAGCCAGGCATCCAAGGAGGACCTGTCCCTCTGCCCAGGAATTGGGCCCCAAAAGGTGAGCAAGGAAGACTACCCAGGCCATACGTCTTGCCCTCGTGCCCTTGCAGGCGCGCGTTCCCCATCTCCATCTGCAGATACTAACGGGCTCAGTTTCCAGCTCCTGTGCCTGGAAGGGGCAGGTGCGAAGGAGCCCAGGGACAGGGCTGCCTTTCTCCACCAAAGCAGGGCCAAGGACCACGTACCCCCAGCGGAAAGGGGTGCTGTTGTAAGAGCACAGACCCGGGGACCTGGGGGTGGGAAGTTGAATGCGCGGCTGCCAAGAGCCTGAAAACAGGCCGAGCTTCAGCAGTAGGGACCAACGCGCAGGGCAGGTGAGCCGAGGGCTCTGCTTGGGACGTTTGCGAGGTGGAGCGCCTCCCCTCCCCTCCCCGGAAATCCGTGGGGCAACAGAAACCCACTGCCTCCCCTGTGCCCCCTCCTGCACTCACCCCTCTCCTTTCCAGGCCAAGCGGCTCTTCGACATCCTTCACGAGCCATTTCTCAAGGTGGCCAAGTGACCCCACGCTGCCTGCTCCCTCCCGCCTGCCCACGGGGCTGCCTGTCGGTGGGGCCCTCCCCGGCAGGGGACAGCGTCCCAGGGAAGAGAACGGAAGCCTTAGTTGGCTAGCGGCCCCTGCGACCCCCACCCCCAGCTGTAAATAAAACGCCAGCACGGATCATGTGAGGATGCAGCCGCTTCTTGGGAAACTGGGCAGGGACAGAGGCAAAGGCCCTGGGCGGAGAGGTGGGCTCTGCTTCGGGGGGTGCAGCTGCAGCCCCCATTTCGCTCAGAGGCGCAGATGCAGCCTGAACAGGGAGCAGAACCTTTCTGCCCCCCACCGGCGAGTCGGAGGCCGCCACCCTCCCTGCCTGAGTTCAAGGCAGACCAGAGCTGGCTGAGCCAGGGAGGCAGCAGGGGCGGAGTGGCGCTTCTCAGCCAAGGCCGAGACTGAGGGTTTTGTCCTCTGCCAAGCAGCCCCAGGGGCTCATCCCTGCTGGGCCTGCGGCTCCTGGTGGGTGAAGTCCGGTCCCTCCGCGGCCAGCTCCCTCCTGTGTTTATTCTTCTTCTTGCGCTTCTGGCTTGGCAGCTCTGCAGCGGGGCCCGCGGACGCCCCGGGCTCATCCCAGCTCGGCGGCTCCTGCTTCACCGAGCCGGGCTCCAGCCACAGCCTCCCTGCCTCCTGCTCCTCCTCGCGCTTCAGGCGCTGCTTCTTCTTGGGCCTGTGGCTTGCCGGGGCCACCCCAGGCCCCTCTGCTGCCAACACCGGCCCGGCCTCTGGCACGACCCCCAGAGCATGCAGTTCCCACGGCTCGGCGGCAGCCTCTTCCTTCCCGGAGGCCAGCTCCATCGGAGCCACGGTCTCGCCTGCCGCAGCTTCCTCGCCGTGCTTCCTTTTCTTCTTGGGCTTGCGCTGAAGCAGCTCTGCCGTCCCGGGGCTCTCCACAGCGGGCACTGCCTCCCCTGGCACCTGGGGCTCAAATTCACACAGCTGGTGGGCACCGCTGTGATGCGGCAATTCTCCCTCCCCCACAGTCGTCTCCTCCTCCTCCTCCCTCCTCCTCCTTTTCTTCTTCTTGCTCTTGTGGACGGCCTCCTCGGCCAACCAGAGACTGTCCTGAGAGGAGATGCCCAAACCGTCTCCTGGGTGAGGATCCTCTGCAAGCACGGTGGCTTCCGGAGGAGGTGGCTCTGGAGCTCCACCTGCCCAGGGCTCATCCACCAGAGAGAGCTGCTCCCCGGGGGGCCCCATAGCAAGCAAATGGCTTTTCTTCTTCTTCTTCTTCTTCCGGGGCTTCTCTGCAGATTCTGGAGGAGGAGGGCTCCTTAGCTGGCCCCCAAAGGGCAGGAAACGCTGCCTAAGGCCCTCTGGAATCTGGGGGGCTGGTCTGTCTGCCACTGGTGAGAGGGGGTGGCTGGCGGCGGGGTCCCCATATCTCTCCCAGATGTTCAGGGAGACCATGAAGGCAGGTGCACAGGTGAGCTGGTCCGTGTGGCCCGAAGGGATGAGCAAGTGGGCAGAGCCACCCACGTCGCCTGGAGTTGCTTGGAGACTGTAGACTCTCTGCGTCCTGTTGGACTGCGGCACCTTCAGGGTCTGGAGACCTGACAGGGATACGACATGCCCATCCAGGCTGGGGGGAAAAACAGAGCAGAGACTGAGCACTCCTCATGAAGCAGAACAGACGCGCTCCCCTCCTCCCACAGGCCCATGGCGGGTCCCCAGGTGCAAAGCAGGCCCGCTCACCCCCTGGCAGAAGGAGCAACGGTCCAAGCGGCCCCTGCAGGTCTGTCTCCTTCCCGAAGCCACGGTTCCCACCCGAAACAGGTCTCACCTGCTCTTTCCGGCAAACCCCACCTCCCCCTCAGCTCCAAGGGTGCTGCCACTCGTGCATACCTGCACGCGTCCTTACCTCTCCGGACTGAAGGTGGCAGGCGCCCGGATGAGCAGCAGCTGCTTGGAGGGGTCCTGCAGCACCTCCGCGGAGAAGGGTGGCCCGGGGGCAAAGGGGCTGGCCGCGAACTCCGCTGGGCACTCAAAGCGGGGAGCTCCTGTTGCAAAAGAACAGAGCTGACGGGCCCGTTCCCCGTTACCTGCCTAAACTGCCCCCACCCATCCACCCAAAGCTCCGGCGGCCCGCGGAGAGATGCGAAACGACGGGACGCAGACGCGCCTTGCACGGCGCTGCCGCTCCTCTGACCCCAGGGGGACGCCGCTCCCGCAGCAGCGGCCGCGCAGAGGCCCCCGCCCGCCCGGCCTTCGGTCTCGCTCCAGGCCCGCCGGCCGAGGCGTCCCCGGAGGGGCCCCGCCGGGTCTCGGCGCCACGGGAGCCGCGTCCGCGCGCCCGGCCGCTTCGCCCCCCTCCCCCCGCAGGCCCCCTCCCGTGGGGGGCTCACCCGCGGGCGCCTCCATGCCTGCCCGCCGCACGTGGCTCCGTCTGAGCGGCCGCTTCCGGGCGCCCGCGCTGGGCGGGGCCTCCGAGGGGCGGGGCCGCTTGCGCGCATGCCTGCTGGGCGGCTCCGACGGCGTGCCCGGCGCCGGGCGGCTTGGTGCCGCCCGGCGCTTAAAGGGGAGTGCGAGCCGCCTGCCCGGCCTCCGGTTTCTGTCCCCCGACGCTGGGCGGAGGCGGGCGCGGTTTCCGTCCTCGACCCGGTTCCGACCCGGATTCGCCCCGGGCCTGGAGGGAGCCGCGCATGCGCGGGGGGCGCGCCTGGCCGAGCGGCGCGCCTGCTCGGCACGGGGCAGCGAAAGCGCGGGCGCCTTGTAGGCGTCGCCGAAGGCAGGAGGCGCGGAGAGCAGGCCGGCCCATTTCGGGGGCCCCCCCGAGCCCTCCGGGGCACGTGCAGCTTCCCCGGCGGGCGGGCGGGCGGGCGGCGTGGCTGCGGGGCTGGAAAAGGGGCCCGGCGGAAAGGATCGGGTCTCCCGGGGTCGCCCCGGCCCGGTGCGGCGGGGATGGATGAGGCCGGGCGAAGGGTGGGCGGCCTGCGGAGCAAGCCAGGCTGGGGGAGAGCGGGGCGCCGTGCGGGCGAGCCCCTCGTTCGCCTACGCTTGCCTCGCGTCGCGCCTCCGGATGGGGCGCTGCCGCGGCGTCGCCCGGCGAGCGCGGGGGCACCTCCAACGGGGCGCCCTCGCCCCGAGGCATGCGCCGTCGGTCCAGAGCGAGGGAGCGCTGCGAGGCCTGGCGGCGGGCGCGGGGAGCGGGGCCCTTCCCCGCCGGCCGTGCCTGGGCTGCTGAGGGCCGTGCAGTCCCGCCTCGCGGCACCGGCGGCGCTGCTCTCACGGGTTCGCGGCGTGGCGAAAAGGCTCGTGGCGCCGGCCGCCCGCGGCCCCCGGTGTCACGTCTGTGGATGACCTGCGCCACCCGGCGGGGGGCGGGGCCAGGCAGGAGCCTGGGGGGCGCTGCCTTGGGCCCCCCCCCCCGGTGTCGGGCGGCCACGGCGGGCCAGAGCGGGGTGGCTGCGCAGCGAGCCCCGCCTGAGCGACCCGGAGGCTCCTCTCCTGCCACAAGTTGGGCAGCGCCCGGTAACGGGTCTGCTTCTCCAGGAACGGCGGGCGGCCGTCTTGGCCTCGGCCCGAGGTGGCCGGGGTCAGGCAGGAGTGGGCCTGCCCAGCCCGGCATCCCCGGAGCGGCCGGCTAAGGCGCTCGGAGGCCCCTGTGGCCCGGGGTGACGTCCAGGGCCCCATCATCGCGGGGGCCTCCAAATGACACCCCGGGGATGGGCAGGTGCCGAGGGAGGCAGGGGCAAGCTCTGCTTTGCTCCTGAAAATCTGCAGTTGAAGCCAGCTCTAGGTCTGAAATCCGGCGTGCTCAGAGTGAGCGACGGCTCTCTTTCTGTGCTGCCGTATCACATCAGGAAAGGAGAAGCGGCTGCACAGCCCCTTCGAGTTCCCTGCAGGAAAAAGGCAGGGTAGAAATAGCATGAAAGAAGGCACGGCGTGATGGTTCCCTCAGTAGCCTTTCCCACACCGAAGTCTTTGCCTTGGCGCTGCAGTCTGGCTTTGGGCACCGAGAACGACCCCCTCCTCCCTTCCGGTGCCACAGCAGCGTGTCTGGCGTGGCTCGGACCCCGCATCCCGCTTCCCCGCCCAGGCGCTCCTGTGCCCCGTGTCTGCCAGCGGCCAGCGTGGCCTGCGGCCCTCGCCTCTGGTGAGCCGAGCGCCCGGCCGCTGCCTCTCCCCCAGCCCCCCTTCTCCTCTCCCACCATGTCGGCCCATTTTGCTCCAGACCCGCCTGCTCGGATCGCCCGGCTGGACGTTCTGCCTGCCGCCTCCCGCGTCTGTTCCCTGCCGTGGAGGATCTCACGGGCGGGACATGGAGGCTGCACCGTAGCGGAGCGTTCCCCCCTTCTCGGCCCTGGCACTGGCACGCGCAACGGGGCGCCCTGGACACTCCAAGGGAGAGGTGCCAATTCGAAGCATCTCTTCACGCTGAACATTCGCAAGTTCATTGCAGGAAACCCGAACCCCTGGCTTGCCGGGCAGGGTCGCCCAGCCTCCGGTGGCCTGGAGTGTGCACAGGTACCGCCGGAGGCCTCCAGCCCCCGCCCCGGGCGCCCACACTGAGAGGGTGGGGCTTGGCTTCTGGCCCCACAGGGGGGCCCCTGCTTGGTGCGCCTCGCGCTCTGCATCCAGAAGGCCCTGGATCCGGCCCTTGCCGCCTCTAGCGGTGGATGAGGAAGAGCGATGCCTGCCTGAGGCCGTGCGGAGCCGCTGCCGGTCCGGGAGCCGGGTGGCCCATGCTCCGAAGCGGCTCCCTGCAGCCCTGTTGCGCTGGAGGGGGCTCAGCTTGGGGGGGGAGCCCGCCCCTGGAGGGCCTGGAGAGGCAGGAGACCAGCATCAGCACCGGGGGCTGGCAGGGCCGTGCCTCTGCCCTGCCTTCCCGGCTCTGCACCCGCTTTCCCTCTGCCGGCTTCGCGCCGCTGTCCCCATCAGGCCGAGGGGGGCCGGCCCACAGCGGGCGGTGGCTCAGGGGCACGGCTGGCGGGCCATCGGAGGCGGCTCTTCAGACGCAGAGTGCAGCGTGAGGCAATTCGTTTGCCGTGGCAGAGACGAGCCACGCCGTGCGCGGCAAGGGAGTCCCCCTGGGAGCCGGCCCGTCCATGCTCCCTTAAGTGTCGCTCAGCAGGGACTGGCGCGGCTGCCCGCCGGGGCTTTGCCCGTAGTCACCCTGATTCTGGCAGGCCCCGTCACGCGAGCTGGCTGAGCACTTTAATTCAGATTGATTCATCGCCTTTTCAGATTAAATTTGCATTTCTGCCATCTGCCACAACAGGCCCCCCACGGGTGGCGGGGGTGCTTGAGCACCAGGTGCGCCCACATGTCTGAGTCTTTCCTGGGCCCCGTGGGCTGCCGTCCCGAGGACCAGATCCACCCTGCCGAAGGGTGTCGGGGGCCAGCGCGCCCGGCGCCCCTTTCAGCCCAGAGCAGGAGGAGCCCCTCTGCTCGTCGCCCCCAAACCTCTCTGTGCTGGAGCCACAGTCTTGGGAACCGGGAACAAAGCAAGGAAGCGGGAGCCGCCCGCACTATTTCGGGATGCATCCCTGGCGTGAGAGGCCCGCTCTGGAGGAAGCCCCCAGCGTCCCTGCGGCTGTGAGGTGAGCCAAGGACAGAGGTGCCCAAATTCCATTTTCCATTTTTAAACATGCTTGTCATGAGTCTGCCCCCCCCACCTCAGCTCCCTCCCCCGTCGATGACTGAGAATCCTCTTCCTTTCGGCCAGACAGAAGATTGCCGGTCCGGGGCGGGCGGCGCGTGTTGTGACGGCCGATGAGCCTGGGGGGGCCGGGGCCGCGAGCGCCCATCCGCCACTTCAAAGGCCGGGCCTGGCCGGCTGTGGCAAGGGAGAGCAGGCCGTGCGAGTGCGGGCGCTGGGGGCATGAAGGTGGCCACCTAGGTCGGCGCTGGGGGCACACGGTCCTGGCAGCCGAGAGCGCCTCGCCCGCTTGGTGCCGGAGGCGTGCCAGCGAGGGTGACCCTGCCGCTGGCTGGCATGGAGGGGCCTTGGAAGCCCAGGTGGGCCGTGGCTGCTAGCCGTGGCGGCGATGCAGTGGCGGGGCTCACGGGTGGGGGTCTCTCCGGCTCTCCCGTGCCGCCTGTGGCCGGCCCCGCTGGTGTCAGCTGCTGCTGTGGGGGGCTGGGCGCGCCCCCCGGCCCGGCCTCCCGTGCCTCTCGTGTGCCGCAGCCGGTGCCTCGAGGGGACGGGTATCCAGGGCGGGTGCCGGCGCTCGCCTGCCTGCACATCGCGTGCATAAGTGGGATGCGCCAGGAGGGTCTCTGCCCGGGAAGCTACCCTGTGGGAGGTGCTTGCGGGAGCCGCCGGGTCATGGCGGGCCCATGTGGGTCCCGGGGGCAAGATCAGGGCAAGGCCAGGGGAGCCTGGCTCACGGGCCGACACGCCTGGTCGCCCTTCCTCTCCTGACGTCAGGCGGGGTTCCTGCGAAGCGCTTCCTGTCTGTCCGCCTGTCCATCTTCTCCTCTGGCCAGGAAGGGTCTATTTCTGTCCTCCAGGCCGTGCCCTCCGGCTTGCTCATGGGGCACATGCGTCATCCCAACTCCTTGGCAAGGAAGGGCTCTTGTGGGGCCACTTAAAATAGCCCCCCCCCGCACTCTGCAGAGGCTGCCGGAGGCCGAGACACGGTGGTGGTTCCCCACTGGGGGTGCCCAGTGCGCTTCTCCTGCCAGGCGCCCCCGCGAGACCCTCGCACCCCCGCCTCTTCCTCCGGTCTCAAGGCCAGCCGTGCTGGCAGCCCCGCCCCCCCCCCCCCCGGGTTATGGAGGGCCCCGGGCTCACATGCCCCCCGCGCAGGGGGCCTTTCCCGGCTAGTCCACAGCCCGGCCCTGCCCTGGGGGCATCTGAGCGCTGGTGGGCGTCCACCCCAGAATGGCTGGCGGTGCCTGCTGGCCAGAGCCCGTTCCCTGGGGGCGAGCGGGGGCCTTCCCTCAGCGAAGGGGCCTGCTGCACGCAGAGCGCCTGCAAGGATCGCAGGCCCATGTGCCAGCGCACACCCTCCGGGGCTCCTCAGCAGCCTGAAAGGGGGGCAGGACCGTATCCCTTGGAGTGGTCTTGTCTTTCGTGCAACGCTGTGTCCTCATGCCCAGCACCCGTCGTCTGCCGGGTATCGGACGGGGTGCCGCTGTCCAGCAGAGTGGGGAGGGTGGGCCCGGTTGACTGAAAGGCCCAGAACTGGGGCCGGGCGTCCCTTTGCCTCCACCTGGAAGGGGCCTCCGCCGTGCCCCCCAAGCTGCGCCCTCCTGCTCGGGAGACGGCGGGTGTGAGCCGAGGTAGCTGCCCTGCTTCCTCGGAAGGGCTGCCTCCCCGCCCCGTGTGGCGCCCGAGGGGGCCGTGCAGAGGGCTGCTTGGGGGCGGGGGCCCGCAGGAGCCGAGGGTCCCGGTGGCTGGGGGCGCCTTTGCCCAGCACCTCGCCCTGGACGGCCAGCGCTGGCCGGGCAGCTCCCCCCCCGCCCCCGGAGCAGCCGTGCTTCGGGCGCACAGGGCTGTTTTGAAGGAAATGCACTTCGCGCTGAAGCATTTCCCTGCTTCCCCGGGTAATAAACATCCCCCTGACCCCTCACCCCCCCGCCTCTTGAGCGTCCTGGGGGAATACGTGCAGGAGAGAGCGGGGGGGGGGGGGGCGGAGCGGGGCGTTTCCTTCCCCCGGGCCAGAGCCTCTTGACCCAGAGCACCCTGGCCCCGGGGGCAAGAGCCGGCTGCCCCGTCCCGCCCGCCCATCCTCGGGCGTGATGGTATCGCTGGATTTATTTCTTCCCCCTCCTGCGAGCGGCCAGCTCCCCCAGGAGTCGGCGGGGGCCGCAGTGGGGCTGCCGTTCCTAGAGGGCTGCCTCTTGCTGGTGCGGCAGGCCGGGCGCTTCTGGAAGCGGTGCCTCTCGCGGACTCCGCGCCCTGGTCAGCTGCCCGGCTGTCGGGCCGAGGAGCTGGGGGAGGGGCTGGCCGGCTGGCCGGCTGCTGGGCCACAGCCATGAGCTTGCGTGGAGACCTGCAGAACTCCCTGCTGCAGTAAGGGGGGGGGGGTCACTTGTGCATCCCTCAGAAAGGGGAAACACTTGGCTCTGCTAACAACACGTTGTGCAGACTTTCTGTTTCGTGCCGTAACCCAAATGCACAGAAGACCGGTGCTTGGGTCAGCCCGGGGGGTGCTGGACGTTCCCGTTCTCCTGCCCCCTGGAGGTGTTCTGCTAAACACAGTGCTGTCCCGGCACATCAGACCCTACCTTTCCGGGGGCCGCCTCTTTTCCACAGGGGGGCCTCAGCGACCTCCCGTGGAAACCCACGCTCCTCTAGCCTGTTGGTCCACGGTAACCCCGTGGTCTTTCTCCTTGTCGGGTCTCTTGAGCCACGGGTTCCCCATCCTGTATCGATGCCTCTGGTTTCTTTTTCCTGGGGGGAGGACTTGGCACTTGCCCCACTGAATCTCATTCTGCTGCTTTACGAAGGGGCGGACGGAATGGAGGGATGCCAGGGCTCGCTCAAGGGGGTGAACGTGGGGGTGCACGCACAGGGCGTCCAACCTCTGCTCATGCACAAAATGCACTTCTTTCCTAACCGTAGCAAGTCCAGCCCTCGGGATATCGGATAAAAGTGCAGGATCTTGGTGATGGTCATCACCTCACGGTGATTTTGCATTCTGCTTGGAGAATTGTAGGTTTGGAGAAGGCGTCACAAAATACCTCCAAGCCCAGACCTTTTTCCCATGCTGCTTTTTTGGGGGGGGGGGGGGTTGTGGGGGGGTAGTTGGGGAGCCTGTTCTGGGAAACAGCGGAGCGGCCCCGGGGGGCGGCCGTGCTGGCAGGAGGGGCTGGCTGCGCCACGGCTATTCTTCAGCCATCAGGAGCGTTTACGTCTCGCAGGATGGATGGCCTGCCCTTTCCCGGCACTGTTTACTTCTGCCGGCCAAGCGGACAGGTCAGGGCGCGGGAGGGACAGATGGGATGCAGCGTGACTGAAGGGGTCCCCTGGGCGGAGGGATCCGTGCGAGCTGTTTGTGTTTCTAGCCCCGGTCTGGGCGTGTTTGGGGGCAGGCAAGGCCTGCCAGCCCGCCGAGACGCGGCAGGACAGGTCGCGCTGTTCCCATTCGCCGCGTCCATCCGTGTGTCACATCCGGAGTGCGGCACAAGGTGGGCGAGGCGGCCAGCCCGGCCTTGACCTGCCTCCAGGCTGCTGGCCAGGTGTGCCTCTCCGACATACGGACTCGCAGGGAGCCCGTGGGGCCGAGTGCCAGCAAGGCGGGGATCGCAAGGGGGGCACAGGGGGGGAGGCATCGCCACCAGCGGGGGGCTCCCTGGCCCCCTGCAGCACAGATTGATTGCTTCAGAGCCCCGAAGGGGCAGCTTCCCCGCCCAGAACCCGAGCCCTGGGACGAAGGGCAGGAAGTTCAGCTGGGACCGTCGGAGCGAAGGTCGAGGGCCCAGCGGCCTCTGGCGCTCACGCTGCTCCCAGCATCCTGGAGAAGGTGACGCACCTGGAGAAGGTGACGCAGCTGGCCGCCGGTCCCTGCCCAGAAGCCCCGGGGGGGTGGGCTGGGGGGCATCCAGCAGCCACACCTTCCCCCCCCCCGCCGGCGTGTTGCCAGTCAGCGGGTTGCAGGTGGCAGGCAGTGGAGCCAAGTGCTGCAGCCGGTCCAGGGAGAGCCGCCGCCCCCTCCCCAGTGCCGACCCCCCCCCCCAGAAAACCTCTGGGGCGAAGGAGAGGGAGGCAGCTGCCTGGATCTCAGGAGGCACATGGGGACGGGGCCCGGGGCCCAGCGTGCGTGCAGGGGCCCTCCCCGCGAAGGGGCTCCGGGGTTCGGATGCTGAGCGTGGTTTCTAAGCGGAAGGAAGGCGCTGCCTTTCGCCTCTTGCCCTGTTGCATGCCTGCAGTGGCTTAGCAGTGAGGGAGTGGCACTCTGTGCGTGCTCAGAAGCACCATCTTTGTAAAAGTCAGTGTCTGAGTTTTTTAAAGAAAGCTGAGTAAGGGGGAAAGATACAAGAGGTGTGTAAAAATATGCGTGGTGTAGAGTAGGTGGATAATACCTATGGTGCAGAGTAGCGGTTTCTTTTTCTCCCAGATACTGAGATGTTTACAAAGCTCTGTATAATGATAAGGACTAGAACTTTTTTCTTTTAAATGACAGTTTTGCTTCTTGGGAAGCTATATTTGGACTGGAACCGAGCCCCTGCCAGGGCTGCAGGAGAGGGAAACGCTCCCCCCCCCCCCCACAGCCTGACTACTCAAAGCCAGACAAACATTTCCCACAAACCGGTGGTGGGATTCAGAGCGCTTAAATTAATATGCATTTATTTTACTTTGTTGTGCAGATCAGGAGTAACCACCTCCGGCCAGGTGAGGCCTGCCCTGGCCCTGCCGGTCCCCCCGCACGCAGGCTCCCCGAGGGCACGGGGCAGCAGTCCCCGTTGCTTAAACGATGGCGGGGCACCCACTTGCTCCCGCCAAGCGGCTCGCCAGTCCTGGGTCCATGGGGGCGGCCGCGATGCCTTCTCTGAGCAGGCGGAAAGGGTGGCGTGCTCCTCTGCCCGCGTCCACGTCCGCGTCTGTGCGCTCCCCACGGCGGTGCTCTGGCCTGTGGCCGCGGCATCTTCGGAGGCGGAGGTGGGGGCCCAGGCCGGGCTGCGGGGCCCCCGAAGCGGCGACCGCCCGGGGCGCGTGGCGCGAGCGCCTCCTCACCCTTGCCACTCGCCACCCGCGGGGCGCTGCCTCCGTCGCCGCCGCGGCCTCTGCTGCAGCCAGGAGATGCAGGAGAGGCCCGCCTGTGAGAGGCGGTGCACCTGGACGCGGATGCAGAAGACCTCGCTGGTGGGGATCTCGGCGAAGAAGGCCCGGTCCTGGCACAGGGCCGCCTCGCGTGCCGCCGGCTGCACGTCCAGGACCGCCAGGATGTCCTGCCGCTGGGCTTGGTTCTGGAGGCCACGGACGTTGAGGATGGCGGCCACGTGGTTCTTCCTGCGGGAGGGAAGGGCCGGTTCAGCCGTGGGTCGGAGCCCCTGCCGTGCTGGGCCATGCTCAGAAAAGATGGGGGCTGAGCTCCCCGGCCCGGAAGGCCTCTGTTCCCGCGCCACAGGGCAGCGCACGGGCACAGCCTTATGGGGTGGCTCCCGTGGCCGACGGACCCGTGCGGCCCGCCACACCGGCAGAGCCCATGAGCCTCGGCACTTGGCCCCCCGTGGCTGTGGGACTTGTGGCCACATTCGCCCCTCCATGACCGCGGGGAGGAGGACGGCCCGGCCCTCTGAGACGAGCTGGCAGCGGGCCCCCCTCTGTGGCTCAGCCACCCACCGGGCAGGGCGACGGCTCTTTGAGGGCTCCCCGTAGCTCAAGCCGAGTGAAGTGCCAGCGCACGCAATGTGCAGGCGCCGCAGAGGGGTGCCGGGCTGGCCCACCTCCCGGCACGCCCACCCCGGGGCAGCCAAGCCAGAACCCGAAGCATCCCGTGAGCCCACCGGGGGCCAAAGTGGCGTCGCCCAACTCTGCCGACCGCCGGTGGGCGCCGTGGCGTTTGCGCTTGGAGCTGCCGGGAGGGGTGGCAAAGGGTTCAAGATGGCGCAAGAGCCTTCTTTGCCTGGCACAGGATGTTTGTGGGTTCGGGGTTCGGGACGTCTGTGCCAGCATTTCTGCGCGTTGGGGCGGCTGGGACTGACGTCCAAATAGCTCAACCGCCAGGCTTGCCGTGCCTGTGCCTGCAAGCTCCCGTCGCTCGGGGGCGGTTGCACCGTGTCCCACTCACGGGCAGGAGGCGGAAAGCTGGCCTGGGCAGGCCCCGGCCCCAGCCTGCCCTTGCGCCCTGCTCCCGCTGCGCCTGGAGGGCTTGTGCGGCCTGGTCGTGGGGGCAGGAGGCGGGGGGGAGGCCTGCCGGGGGGGGGATGTGCCCCGGGGTCCCGCGGAGGCTGCTGCAGCCCTGTGGCCCTTCTTTCCACGTGCCTGGCCTGACGCAGGGGGTGGGCTTGAGCCCGGCCTGCCCCCCACCACCCCTGCCCCCCGTGGCCCCCCCGCCTCGCCCCGGCGGCCCAGCCCGCATGCGCTCCAGCGCCAAGGCAGGAGTGCGCAGGGGCTGCCCGGCTCCATGTCCCCGGGGAGGCAGTTTATTTAAAGCCCTGCTGGTCGGATGTCTCGTTAGCAGCAGGAAGCTGGCGCAGGGCCACGCAATCAGCAGAGCCCCGCTCAGCCGCCTGCCCAGAAGCGCCGGGGGGAGGCGGGCGCGGGACCGGGGGCGCTGATGGCCGCGCTGATGGTCCCTCGGAGGCGCCTCTTCCCAGCACCGCAGACCCCGCCGGCTTTCTCAGAAGGGCTCTGCTAATTAGTGGCTCATATCCGCCCCCTGCTCTGCCCCTGCCCGCCCCCCGCCCGGCCCGACCCGGCCCCCAGCCGCAGAGGAAGCCGCCCGCCCATCGCGCCGCTTCCTTCCTTGGGTATTTCCTGGGGAGCAGCGGAAGGCAATCGGCCGCGGCCGCTCCTGGGTGGCTCGCTCCCCCCCACCCCCGGCCGGTCTTGCCAGCAGAGGGGGGCGAGGGGCGCGCCAGTGCGGGGTCCACCCCCCACTGCAGCCAAGGGAGCCCTCTGACCTCCGGACCCTGATGGGGGCGCCCCCAGCAGGGCAGGGTGGCCGGAGGAGCAGGGAGCCTCGCGAGGACAGATGGCCACGAGCCTTGCTGAAGCGTCTCCACGGAAGGAATACAATTTCATGGGCAGAAGCCAGGTGGGCGGAAGCCATTTGCCGCTTGTGGCCTTCGTGGGGCTGCCTCTGCCCCCATCTCCTCCCTGGGGGGCTGGCAAGACAGAGCTGTCCTCCAGCCCCCCGGCACATTCCTCTGCGGGGCTACTGTGTCCGGCTGCCCCAGAGCCGCCCCCACAAGCAGGTCTGTTCCTCTGCTGAGCTCCTCCGGAAGAGGCAGAAAGACGGACACATCTGCCCCACGGACACATCTGCCCCATGGGTTTTCCTCTTCAGCCAGCCCCTGGGGCACCCCCTCAGCACCGGGGGTCAGCCCCGTCCTCCTGGGGTCAGGGGCTCCGGTGCCCTGGCCAAGGGTGGGGAGTGGCCATGCCTGGGGGGGACCGGCAGGGCACGCATGCCTTGGGGGCTGCTGCAAAGGGCACGGTGATGCCGGCCGGGCCCAGGCACTTCCGCACAGTCCACATGGACTTTGCCACGGCTGGGCGGAGGGGGATCCCAGCCCCCTCCCCATGATTCCGTGGACCCAGGCCCTGAATTCATCCGCGTTAATTAACACAGGGCACGTGAGGCTGGTGTGCAGCTCCGGTGGGCAAGAGCTGGAGGCGGAGAGCCGGGTTCGGTTAAACCTTGCCCCAAGCCTGTGCGCAAATCCTCGCGTCCCCAAACCTCTTCCTCTTCCTGGCTGTTGGCGCGGCTCCTCGTGCCTCAGGTGAGGCCATGGGGCCGGCATGGCCCTCGCTTTGCTCCCGGCCCAAAATGGCGTTCTGCAGGGAGGCGCGGGCAGGCCCGGCTCCTGCCTGAAGCGCGGCCACTTGCTTTCCTGACGCAAGGTTGTCCTTTTTTTCTTTCTTTCAAGAAACAACAAGCCCCAAAAGGTCCAGATAAAACAGGAAATGTCCCTCAGTCACACTTAACGGGCAATCTGTCGCCTCTGGAACAATAAGATGCACAGGGCGGAAGATGGAAAGGAAAACAAGCGGAGGAGACGCGACAGGCTCGCCTGGCCCTCCCCGGGACGGTGACGCAGCCGGCTGGCAGTTGCGGAGGGAGCCGTGCGGGCAGCGCGGTATTTATAACCTGCCAGCCCGCCTTTGTCCTGGGAAAGCGGCCGCTTCCAGACATTTGCAGCTCTGCCAGGCAGCCGCCCCCCGGAGGAAGTGGGGGACCCCTGCTGTGCCCCGCCTGCTGTGCCCCCGCCTCCGGTTCGGTGGCCCGAGGGCCGCAGGGGATGAGGGACCGCAAGCCCAAGTCCCCGCTGGGCCCTGGTGCCGAGGCCGCCTGGCGGTCCTCCGAGACAGGAACCGGCAGGGTGCCAAGCGCAGAGCTGGCGGGCCTGCCCGCTTCCGTGATTGTGGGACGCCGCCCAGCTCCACCTGGGAAGCCGTTGTGCCCTGGGGGGCTGGTTCCCTCGGGAATGGCTCTTCCTCCCAGGGGGCCCCGCAGAGGCCCACTCCCTTCTTTCCTGGCATCCTTGCTCTCACATCTGCAGGAGATGTGCCACCCGGCTTGCACCAGCCGGGCTGTGGCAGGGCGTCCAGCCCAGTGCCTCTGCAGCAGCCCCTCTTCGGCCGCCTCCACCTCTTCTGGGGGCAGCCCCAGCCTCGGCGCTGCAGCCTCGGCGCTCTCTCTGGAGTCGCGGCATTCGAAGAGCCGTGGGGCTGACCCCCTCCCAAGCCCCCTCGCCTGGGCTGCCCGGGCTCCGTGCGAAGGCCTCCGCTGGCCGAGCTGCAGAGTGTTGCTGCTGGCCACGTGCGACCGTCCCTCATCGTGCCCGGTAGCCTTTCTCTCTCCTGATGGAGGAAAGCACCCGGACCCGCGGTCTGGTGTTTCTCCTTCGGTGCGGAGGAGGGAGGCTCGGGCTCCCAGTGGCCGTGGCAGCAGGCCACAGCTCAGGACTCGCTGCCCAGCCTGGCTTGGGACCGTTTTGCATGAGCCCAGAGGTGGGCGCAGGTGGAAGTCCCCCCCAGCTTCACCTGCAGAACCTCAAAGGCTGCGTCTGCCAGGAAGGAGCGAAGGCAGCCCTCCCGAACGGCGCACCCAGTCGCCCTCGGAAGCAGCTGCAGGACGGCCGTGGCACACGGTTCCCACAGCTGCGAAGGTGGCCAAGGGCCACATGGCCCGGTGCCAGCCCAGGAGAGCGCTTCTCTCCACCAAGCAGGCCCCCCCCCCCGCAGACACGGAGAGGCCGGCGGGAGCCCGGGGCATTCCAGTCTGCTCTGGGCCCGGCCAACTGGGCGTGGGTGGTCCAGCCTCTGAACATGCCCCTCTCCAGCGGTTTGGTGCCCCCCCCCGCCCAGAGGCGGCCCCGCTCCCGCACTCACTGCACGTCGGGAAACTCCTGCGCGAGGAACCCCACTTCCACCTGGACGGCGGGCATGTCCTCCAGCCCGATGATGCTGGCCAGGTGCGGCACGGCCGAGTCCAGCCAGGACGAGGTGGATCCCTGGCGGGCGGGAGGGAGAGGGTGGCAGCCACAGGGCGGGCGGACGGGCCAGCCAGAGCCGGGGGCCCCTTGAGGCAGCCCCCGGGCCCAAGCGCTCCCCGCCGCCGCCTCCCCCCCGCCGGCCCGCTCACCAGCTGGGCGAAGAACTCCTGCAGCTGCTTCGCTTCGCTGCGCAGCCGCCCGGCCACCTTGCTCCGCATCTTGGCGGAGGTGCAGATGATCCGGACGCGCATCAGGGGGCGCACGTACTCGATCAGCACCTGGCGGTGCACGGCCGTCACCAGCATCTGGGGCGGGCAGAGCGCGGCTGCGGGTCAGAGCCAGGCGCCAGCGGGTCCCTGGCCCCAAGGGAGTGACGCCCCCAGGGGCAGGGGGTCTTGTGGTGCCCGCTGTCCCACGTGGTCCTCGGGGCCACGCGCTGCCCCGGGGCCTTTGCGCCACCTGGCACACGGCAGCTGGTGCGGGGATCTCACACAACGGGGACCGGGGGGACCCGCTCACCCGCTGCCCACCTGCATGTCGCCGGAGTGGCCGGAACCCGGCTGGGGAGGGGGTGAGAGTGGCGGCGGTGCAGGGGGCTGGGTGGAGGCCCTTTGCGCTCCTCGGGCGGGGCCCAGCAGGGGGGACGCAGGCTGCATGGGGGGGGCCCCGCGGGCAGGGGGGGGGGGGGGGGCCAGACGGGCCGCCTGCCCGGGACTGCCGTGCGTCCCATGGCTGGGAC